GTCTGTAATTTGTAGTTTTGTATTTTCAAAGAGGATATCAAATCATGATATAGTCCTTAAAAATGTTGGTATTATGGCCAAGTAATCAACTTTAACACTATGCTTAGACTTCACAGTAAACACTGTGTGCATTTGGACTTATTCCACAAATTCCCTAGCTCCCAGACTCTCAGATTTTGAAGAGAAATAAAATATTACCAAGCTCAAAATATGTGAAAACAAATAAAACAATACACATGGAGCTCATAAGGCAGCATTTGTCAGATAATAAGTGCTCAATAGCAGCTATCATAGCAGAAGACAAAGCTAGTTTTTTCAAGTTAGGAGCAACTGTTACTTCCTATCTAAATAAGTTATAACTATGATCAGCACTGCATGTCCCAGTTATTCAAATAGTCTTGATAGATCTTGAGTAGCATTTTATTTATTCATTCTAAAACATTCTTATTTACCAGGCCTCATCCATCATTCTCTGTCTTGTTGTGTTAGATTATAAGTAGGGTTTCCTGAAGATCTGTCAAGAATACCGATGCAGGAACATGCCAAATTCATCTGCTGCAGGAACATTTACAGTTACCATCAAAACATAAGCCACATTATTTCCAGTTCACACACTAGCAAGTGACACAGAAAAGGAAGCTAAAGGTAAGAAGCTGTGACTTGGTGCATCGTGTAGCCTTCTGATTAGAACTGTGTGCATTTGATGTTATAGTTGATGTTACTTTCCTTCCTTGGAATTATTCAAAGAATCACAAATGACCAATGTGCTGAATTACTTTAGTGGTTTTTTTAATGAATTACCATTGTCTTAAAATGAATTAAATCATTAAAATAGAAGAAAAATGAGATTCAGATGTCCATCAATAGGACAAAGTTCAAAAGAGAAAGGGTAATTTCTAAATAGATTGTTTTAATTTCTAGAAATAATTAAAATATAAAAGTTGAGATATTTAAGACAATCAGCAGAGTAATAACAAAAGGAAAGAAAAAGACATGAAAGTTGAACAGAACCCACTTCTAGGTCATCAAGGAGAGAAATACGCTTATCCAGATAGGTAAGAAATAAACATTTGGTTTTTGAAGCAAATGATTTCAAATCCAAAGTACTCAGGACTTAAAAGCAGAAGTGGTACGGAAATTTAAAGAATGTTTTAATATCCAATTTTGGTTTATATAGCTATATTTATTTAGAAAAATGCAGATGTGACCAATATGCACCTATATATACATGTAAATACTCCTAAAATAAATTCATTGAAATACAGTTATAAAACAGGACTTGCAATGTTAACCGTATTACTATTCTTGATTTAGTTTTGAAAGGTTATATATGTCTCAAAATTTCAAAGGATCAGTTTCAGAATGATTTGTGGTAAGTTTTGTTGCTAACATCAATGGGAAGGAAGTATTGGGGAATGGTGACACCTGAGTCCCAGAAGGTCCCAGAGGGATCACCACAGGCAGCCCAGAGCAGTGTCCATAGTGTGGGGTGTTGAGCAAACTCGGGCAGCTTCAAGGTCTTGGTGAGGCAGAAAAGAAAGACCTTGGCATTTTTCCAGAGGAATACAGATGGAATAAGCTGCCACCTCTGTAGCATGTGGACTGAAGGTTGATGTAAACTGTGATGTAATTGCAATTTTATAAAGATGGAGAAGGTTGGGCAGGGGAAAGACCATACATAGAATGTTTACAAAAGCTGAAAATGTTTCGTCTAAGAGTCTGTTACATTAGTGTTTCAGTTTCAACCATGCAAAGTAACAATACTAGGTAGAGTGTGAAGTCATCTGCACTTTCTTTTACTTCTGGGACAAATAAGATGATGGAACGCATGCAATGTGGATTTTAAATTTAATATTTAAGTTCAATATTTTTGTACAATAAACCTTGAAGTTAAAAACTCTCCTTCCCTTTATGCTTTAAAACTGTACTTAAAATATCACCACAAATGAGTACAAGTCGAAAATTTTAGTTTTCCTCATTAGCATATTGGTTTCATAATTTTATTATATTAGAAGTATTATTTAGAGATAAGGCGCTGTTAATTTCCAGTATGTACTTCTACATAATTGTCTCCCCACCATTAATCACATCAGTTCTGCCTAAATTTTCACTATTATTGTTACATCTGCACCATTTTTTCTCTTATGTAGTCCATCTCAATTTACTTTTGGAATAAATGTGGCATGTTTAGGTAACCAGTATAAAAATTACAACCATGTTTGCAACTCTGAAAATAAGTACTAAAATATTTTCCAAAATAGTGTGAAAGATATATTTTCATAGCAACTTTGGGAATGGCATAATTTAAATGTAACATGATTCTAAATAACACATACTTCATTTCTACAGCTGATTTAATTCTCCAGTTTGTTTATGGTGTATAGACATTCTCTAAAATAATGCTGATACCAATATTTCACACCTTTTTATTTATACTTTATGTATTGTGTTCATAGAAATTCTGTGGGCTTCCATTAACCTCATGGGTCAGGCACACAAAGCTGATATAACCATGTCTATTTTAATGGAGAACAGACTAAGGACATCAATTTATTGAATGACATGAGTGAGGCTTTCTTAAAAATAGCAAACTATGAATATTTACTGTATTTAATTAATTTTTTTATGTGGAGAAACTAAATCATTACAAAATTTGCCAAGATAATATGAAGAATTCCTTTATACTGATCATTTATTTATTCTTAATATTAACATGTAATATTATCATGAGTACAGTTGAACTTATAAAATCCATGTAATAAACATTACTAAAAGCTAGATTTTGGGATTTTCACTGTACTATTTTCTGTGCATTCTGGATTTCAGTCTAGAAGAATGCATAACATTTAGAACACTACAAATTTAAATGACTAAAATCTTAAACTTGTTATCCAGAAAGCATAAGCACAATGTTTTCTCCCTTATAAAAGCTTATCATTAATTTTGGAACTTCTTTATATCTGACACTATTTTAATGCTAAAATTTCATTACTCTTATAAATTTCCAGGTAAAGAAAATGAGGGTATTAAGAATAATTTAACTACTACGTGAATTTATTGTCTTGGTCTTTGGCTCCAAAGTTTGAATTAATCAATCCATATATCAGTGTAAATATTTTTTATATTAGAAATAGAGCTACTTAAAATAGTAGCGTATACACTTAATTGGAATGAGAGACATAGAACTGTATAAAATATTTTTAAGGAGAAATAAAGGCATTTATTGATCTTAGCTATCATAAAGCAGGAGTTAGAATTAAAAACAGTGCCATTTCTGCCTTTCATCACTGACTGTGATGATCATTCAGAAATCTTCTGGATCTATGATGGCATCGGTGCTTTTATGCCTATTCCTTGTCTGATACATTATGAAACATATAGATAGACAATTATACTTACTCCTGACACAATGGCAACACAAACAGCAGAGCATGGTTTTGAACCCCAGTCTGCATGAGTTTAGAGTCCATGATCTGACATATTTTACTTCTTTACCTTCTTTGCTCTGGTCTTGAACTAACCTGACTATTGCTGGATTATATATTGATGACTGAGTCAATAACTTACTAGGATTTGTTTCACATACTTGCTTTTTGATTAGACATTTTCATTGAATAATGAGTTTAGAATACAAGTATCATTTACAGATGTCTGAAACATTGAGGAAATAATGGAAAAGGATTTTAAAGTAAAAATGCAGAGGTATTCACATGCACAATAATTTATTTTTAAATACCATTGGCATTTAGAATGATTTCTACATACTGAATGTGCCTTTTATAAGATCAGGTTAATTTTAGCTTTCATAATAAACCCTTTATTCTTTAATTTACATACTTAGTAAACATTTATAAGTTAAGGTATCATACTATACACATGTTTATATATCTACACAAGTTAACAAAATATTATTAGGCATGCTAACATGTATGGCTGAGGACAGCTTCTTCAATTCTCAATTTTTTATAAAATTGAAATCAATATTTGAATTAATTAGCTAGATAAAACATGTATTCACTTTCTGATTCTGCATCATTTGTTCTGTTTTAGTTAACATCTCAGGCTTATACAAAGAATCAGAGACTATAATGTTACAAATGGATAGAGACTGTAGAGAAGCCACTTCTCACTAAGTACACACTGGAAAACAGTGATCCCCGTTTCATGCTATTGTTCCTACATAGATGCATTGATTTGGAAATAGAGGTTTCATGTGTCAAATACCATGCCTATTATCTCTGATTTGCTTGAATTTAATGACTTTAAGCATGAATTTCTCACCAACAAATATGACCTAGAACAGGATGCTTCCTTGGAGTCAGATTCTGAATAATTACTTCATTGTGTCATCAAGACAACATTTTGAATGACTATTAATTTGAAAACTTAAAATTTAGTCTCTACTCATTATGTGCTAAGTACAGAGTTAGACAGTTTTGCACGGATCTTTGTTTTTTGCAAGGAAAGAGTTAAATGACTTAAAGATTCAATTCAATGCAAAATTTTAAAGAGATATTTGAGGAGTAGCTATGATTTTCAGGAGTATTGTGACTGCGGGCAATTTCTTACTTTTGTAGATAAGGCTGTTTCTTGCTCTGATTTGATGTTCACATTATGTTATCACACCCCAGGCTACCAGCAGCCAGATTTAATAATTTAGCAAACCTTGTATAGGCTTCAGGGCAAATTTCATGAATTCGGTACAATAAGCCATTACTAAAAAATAAAATCTAGGATGGGGGATGAAAACTTTTTCATATAGTTAACACATGTTAACTCCCTATTATCTCTATTGAAACTCAGTAATTTAAAATGTTTACCATTCTTCCTGATCTTCCACTACCATGATTAGTGCCTTTACAATGTTGTATACTTGGTAACTCATGATAATTTGGTACAAGAATGAATCAAATTGCTCATGCTGATAGTACCATAAAATGATCTTAAAATTCCTTTTCTATGTTTGCAGAGTCACATTTTGTTCCTTGTAGTGCTTTTCCATTTTCTCTGAAGTCATGCAAAACCAAAGCACTGTCACAGAGTTTGTGCTCCTGGGGCTCTCACAGAATCCAACAATTCAGAAAACAGCATTTCTTCTATTTCTGTTGATATACATTGCAACTATGGGGAGCAACATACTAGTCATAGTGACCATTGTTTGCAGCCCTGCACTGCGGGGCTGCCCCATGTACTTCTTTTTAGTATTCTTGTCTTCCCTGGATGCGTGCTTCTCCTCAGTTATCACCCCAAAGGCAATTGCAGACACTCTGCATGAGAAGAAAAAAATCTCCTATGAAGGCTGCCTGATGCAGGTCTTCGGTGTACACTTCCTTGCCGGAGCAGAGGTGATTGTCCTTACTGCCATGGCCTATGACCGTTACGTGGCCATTTGCAAGCCCTTACACTATGCTTCCATCATGAACTGGAGGCTCTGCGGCATTCTGATGGGGGTAGCCTTGATGGGGGGGCTCCTGCACTCCATGATTCAAATTTCCTTTACTTTCCACTTGCCATTCTGTGGCCCCAATGTCATAGATCACATCATGTGTGACCTGTACCCACTCCTGAAGCTCGCCTGCACTGACACTGACATCTTGCATCTTTGGGTGTTTGCCAACAGTGGTTCTTTCTGCCTCCTCATCTTCTCTATGTTGCTTATCTCCTACAGTGTCATCTTGTTCTCTCTGAGGAAGCACAGTTCTGAAGGGCGTCGGAAAGCTCTCTCCACCTGTGGGTCCCATATTGCAGTCGTGGTTTTGTTTTTTGTTCCATGTATTTTTATGTATGCACGGCCTCCATCTGCTTACTTCTTTGATAAATTTGTGGCAATATTTTGTACCACGTTAACTCCCTTGCTCAATCCCATGATTTATACTTTTCGAAATAAGGACATGAACAACGCCAGGAGAAAAATGTGGAAGAGATTGACGGTGCTGTCTGATGAGAAACAAAACATTACATGAGTAAAAAGTTGTAATCTAAGAGTAAAAATGTCAAAATACCTTTTGATGCTTGTGGGATGGATGTCATGTGATCGGAGGTAACTCAATGCTATAGAAAACATTTCAATGGGAACCAGGAAATACTAGGTTAACCTACAGATTACTGATCAACTCTGAGTTGGCAACTTTGTCTCTTTAACTGTAAATTAAAGAGTTATTTTAAACTAATGTTGCATAAATTGGACACAGAAAAAACTGAAAACACTACTTATCAAATTGGCATTCACTTCAAACATAAAAGTCTATGTGAAGAAAAAAAATCTGTTAGATGTGGAAAAAATAAGTTACAGAATTTCAATAAAATCATGAAAAGCAGAGAAAGCATTCACAGAACCTTAATTCTAAGTGCTTCTGTGTCACATTACTCCACAACTGGTTGGGTCCATTACAATCTACAGCAGAACTTGAGTCATTTCTTCAATTTTGAAAGATATAATCTGATTGGTCAAGTCCTTCCTATGTATCAGTGAGTGCCTCATGGGTCAATTGACCGTGACACAGCACTTGTAGCAGTGGGAGACAAAAAGGGGCGGATTCCTCTAGGCAGACAGCAGTGAGTATCTCTGTTATCTTTTTAAAAAGAAGAATTTCTTGAGATTTTGAAATAGGATAAAGCAAGAATTTCTGAGAGAATCTCCGGAGTTTTGGCTCACACATTCACATTAATACCTCCTCTCACAGTGTGTGGTGCATGTTAGTTGATACTTTTGTGTCAAAATATCTATCAAAAATTTCAGTTAAAGGGAATAATACTGCTACATTAAATCCACAAATGCCTGAAGTTATGGGGTCACTGCGCCTTACATTTTTTTTTATGAATTGATTTAAATATCCATTTTTCTGTGCAGTGTGAATGAGTGTAAAAATAAGTAGTATAAAACACAGAAAAGTTATTTAACACACAAAATTCTCTGAAGGGGCTTGTGGGCTAAGTCTAAGTTCTTTTTCGAACTTATTCTCGATTTTGTGTTGCACTAGAATACATAATGCATTTGCATGTGTGTCTTCATTGGAACAACAAATAAATTAAAAATGGAAAAATTCACTTGGCCTCTGCAAGGTTTTTTTGGTGGAAATTGATGGAATATCAAGATTCAGAGCTTTAAAAAAGTAACATTTTGACTTCATCTACAATTATAGTCACATTTTTATTTGAGATATTTAAATCTAGCACTCAGTGTCCCCTAGCCTCAAAGAAATTCATCCTGTCCTTATGCTAGAACTCGGCTTTCTTATTTAGTAAGTACACAGACACTGTGCCCCAATCCTACAAAAAGATGCTGCATTTCATCTCTGCACATAGTGTATCTCCTATGAACACAGAGCTCTATCCCTGAACCTGACAGGAAATGAAACCATTCTTAATTCCATGAGCAGTTTGAAAAACAAAAAGGTAAACAACCAAAGTACAAGCAAAGAGGACAGAGTAACTATACCAACAAACTTAATTATTAAAAAAAAACAGATTTCAAGTACTTGAGAATGTTAAACCATGCAGGTCCTTCTTAGTACATCACACTGATGGAAAAATTTCCAAGCTCTACAGGGAGAAAGCAATTCTACTTGCCTATGATCTCTCTGCAAACTGCTTTAAATTTCAAAAGGAAATCATTTGGAGCTGGTTGGAAGGCAGCACATGAGAAACAGTTGGGAATATTCCCCATGAGGCCAGAGAGGTTCTTCCCCTCTCTCTTTGATGAAGAAAGAGAAATCAGATTGAATCACCAAGTTCTGGAACACTGAAGGATACTTTTTCTCCATGAGGTATAGAGGATACCATCACCAGATTTCAAGCAATCAATGCATGGTGAGATTTATAATTTGCCTTTCAAAAGAGGATATCGAATCATGGTTCAGCTCTCAAAAGTATTGTTACGGTGGTCAAGTTTCCAAGTTTAATGCAGTGCTTCAACCTAACAATAATAATCGTGTCATTTGGGTGAACTAAACTAACACTCTGGCTCTCCGATTTTCATCATAAAGGGGTATTAAAATATGATTGAAATTTAACAATGACTGTAGTATTTCATATTGTTACCTTCAAAAGGGTTGCTTAGCTTACCAGATATAGACATGCAAAATTGATGTGAGTATTAACTGTTCTTTTCCAAGAACTAGTAAAATTATTAGTATAGTCATTAGGCCCGGGATTCATCTCAGCAGCACTAGTGCCTGCCTGGCAAGTGTGAGGTGTGAGTTTGATCCCTGGTACCACCACCACCACCACAACAACAGCAACAACACAGCTTGAACTGCTTAACAAGATCCTGTCTCAAAAAATCCCATAGTATAGTCATCTTAGATATCCTATTAAATATAAACAAACTTATGCCTTTTTCCTTTTCCATTCCTGCTTTCTTCTTTTCCTCTAATTTCTTCTTTTTTCATGTGACTCCCTGTCATATGGAAAGAATTTTAATTTATTTTAAAATTGTCTTTAAAATATTTTTCAAATGGATAGAATCATTAATATTTTTTCTTTTTAGCATATTATTAAGATTAGGATGTTCTCTATCCTCACATTTATAGAAGCCTGTGAAATTAATTTTTAGTATTTTAATTATATATCATATTCTGCCCCTTAAATAGATCACCTATTGCTAACTTTTGATTGCACATCTGCACTATCTCCCATTGTAAAACTCCCCTATCTTAATTCAATTCTTAATTTTTAATTGAGTTACAAAACTTAAATTCCTAAGTTTATGTAACCAAAATAAAAAGTACTAGCAGGCTAATGAAACAAAAAATATTTACTAACATGTTTTCCAAAACAGAATGCTAATTATATATTTTCATTATAATCATAAAAATTGGCAAAACTTAAAAAACATGATTTTAAGTAACATTTTAATCTTATGACTGATTCAATTTTCCAGCTCCTTTAGTGTGTGTAGACGCTCTTGAAAATAATGCTGTGGTCAGTATTTCACATAATTTTATTTATACTTTGCAAAGCGTGTTCATGATAACTTTAGTCTCTTTATGGTAGGTCAGGTAGCTTGATGAAGGTTTGCCTTCCCCACATTACAGAAAAGCAACCTGAGGCATCTTGCTTTATTGAAAGATGCAAAGAGATGTGAAGTTTTCTGGCATAAATTAAGAAAATGTTTCTATGTTTAATTAACTGTATGCTCTGCTTGCTTTGGCAGCATCTATGCTAATTAACTTTTTATTTTGAAGAAAATGTAAATGATTACAAAAGTTTCTGGATGTCCCTCATTTAGTTATTTCCCATGTTATTATCTAACGTTAACATGAATACATTCATCAAAACTGTGAAGTGCGTTAAATAAAGACAAGATTTTATTCAACATTTCCTAATTGTTTCACCACAGCCTTTCCTGTTCATTGTGGATTTCAATCCATAAAAATACATAGCACTGAGAACACATTTCACGTTACTCAGTGATTTCAATTTTTAATGCAGATGATGTCTTTCAGACTAGTCCTTTCATAATTAAGAAGAGTTGCTAAAATGTTGTATAGACAACGTGTGCTCATTGAGACAGAAGCATGTGTAATAAGTCATGAACACTGTAAGGTGCTTTTCCTTCTCTTTTTCCTGTCTCTGCTATCAATATCGTCCATGGATAAAAGATCATTTCCCAATATCCTTTCTTTTCTCACAGAGGATTTATTTTTATGTGGTTCATTTATGCCCCAAAATTAGTGAAAATAAGGATCTGATAACATTGGTTAAACCATTTTATGAATCTGCGAGTCTAAAATTGGGTACTCCTTAAAACAAAACAAAAAAAATGGTAATCACCAAATTGTGGTGACCAATATATAAGATTCATGTCTGATCCAGAAAGCAAGCAAATTAAAATTTATTTTATTATTATAACTCTCAACAACTCATTAACTTTGTTTATAATATTCAATGAGAAAATAAAATGCAACATTCAATAAAAATATAGCATTCAATAAAATACAAATATTAAATATCTGATCTTTTAATGCCATCAAATTTGATGAATAGTATTTTGCAAATACTTTCCAGCAATAGTCCTTGTTGTTAATGCTTTATATCCCATGTTGTTGTGACATACAGATAGTTAATTTATTTTAATTGTTTTTTATTAGGCTATCCAACTGTTTTGTTGCCACTAACTGGCCTGTTTTAGTCACGATAGTTAGTGAAAGAATTTCAGAAGCATATTGTCAATTTCAAAATATGGATATTTAAAAAACTGTCTCTGAATGTCTGAAGAATATCAATAGGAGTTTAAAACTATTATCTTAAAAGGAATAGTTTAAAAAGGAATAGTTCCACATATGAGTTTTCTCAGGATAATGTACACAATTTTATTTGCCAATTTAAAGTTAACATCAAAAGAATTCCATATAGTATTGAAAAATTGAAAACTGGAGATAACTTTAATGGGTTTATTATCTCTATTGCTTTGTCAGAAATCAGGTTAAATTAGGAGTTTTCTCCCCACATGGAATGGTTCGTCATTCTAATGAAAGAAAAGGCAAAATACTTATGGTAACATCCATGACTACAGTGCTGGGTTTCCTTAACTCCCTCTCACTTCTCATTCAAGAACGTTTTCTCCTTAGCACCTCGCTCCTCTGGCAGATTCCTTCCAGGAAGCTGATACAACACTCCCTGCCTTACAGGCTGTGCATGTCGCCCTTAGCGTGGAACATTCTTTCCTTCCACGTGTTTCATGGCTCAGTGCACACTCTCTATTGAATAAACGCTACTCAGCCTTGACTTTTTACTACCACATTTCCATTTCACCTTCTTGGCGTTCATTAGCATCTTCCCCACCCTCTCCATCTTTGAGCACCCATGCCCGGACGGTCCATTGGAAAGATTCGTTTTCCAGGCCCAAATATCTTAGGAGTTTAATAGAGGTATCTTATTAAAATAAAATAGCTTTAAACTTGTTATTAAGAGATTTGTGTTCTAGATTCTCTTCCATTATTAACTAAATGTGCGACCTTGG